TGATGATACTTTATACTATCCACACATTCATGTCCCCGCGATATTTTTTTTTTAAAATATATATCCACACTTTTTAATGGATTTAGTTTCATTTTTTTTTCTATTCATCCTTCCAAATACATGTTTTGATGATTTAAATATTACAAAAATAAATAAAAATGTTATATATGTAAAGTCTTGGCTTTCTTATTAATATCTTTTCTTTAATATGAAAACTGGTTTCTAAAAATTAGATTACGTTTAAATTAATTCGAGTCGACCAAATTGAATCATAGAGGACTTTTTTTTTCTTGTTATAACTTGAATATAAAATCTTGCTAGTATTTAAAAAAAAAAAACAAAGAAAAAAAACAGAGGTGATGGGTTTATGGTCCCATGAAGGGGGACCTGAATTCCTGCATGATTTACACGTGGGCCAAACGCAACGAGCACCATGACGTGACGCCCACTGCCATTTCATTGATCTCTTCTTTTTCGGCCTTGATTAACCTTAATATCTCCGACTGCATTTCTTTTTTCAAAGATTAAAAAATATACCCTTCCGATCTTGTATATATTTCAGGCCCCAGAAAATCCCTCACATTCTATAAGATATAAATACCTGAAATATATATAAGATTAAAAAAGCAGCTAAAATTAGTTAAGATCAATAAATACATAAAAAATACTACCTTCTGTTCCAATTATAAGAGCTAGTTGACTAATTTGAGGAGATTAAGAAAATAAGTTAAGTTAATTATTTATAATAAATAGGTATTGTCTTTCCTAAAATATCCTTGCTAATCAAATGTATTGGCTAGAACTACTATTGTTAGAAGGACTACCTTGAGAAAAATGTATAAATATGAGAGATAAAGTGGATTATGATCTTATATTTAGGACCAAAATAAAAGTCAAACAAGGTCTTATATTAAGAACCAGAGATAGTATATTTTTAAAAATATAGCATTATTTAGAGAATGTGAATAAGAGAGAATGAGTTGAAAAAAAAATTCTCAAAAGAATACCTCTAAAATTTCAAAATTTTAAATTAGAAATGACTATAAAAATATATTGTCCTTTACTTTTCAAATATTGTCAGTTATTATTAAAGTGTAGTAAATAAGACTAACCTGAAATTTTGAAATTCAAATGTTTTTTTTTAAGGATTCTCCAGCTAAAAAAAGAAGAGAATAAAATATCATTCTTGGCTAAAGTGTAAAAATAAAAAAAGTAAACTAAAACTTTTAGACATGTACAAAGTATAACTTATAAAAGGACTAGGAATATTAAAATTTTTTATTAAAAATTAGATAAATTCAAATTGAAACTTATAAAATGGATCATATTCCTTCTTAAATTTAAAGCTTATAAATAAGATGAGAGGGAGCAGTTTTTTTCCTCTAAATTATGTCTTTCACATTAATGTTTTCATCAAAAGGTTGGGAAAAAACTTTTATTAGAAGAGGCGTGTTTTAAAAAAAATGACATAAATCCCATATGTCCCGTTTGGTAAAAAGTATTAAAAATGAGAGATATGGATTGTGATTGCCATTAAAAAAAATTATTAAAATAATATTTAGCATAACTAATTGCTTGTTGCATAGGACTAGACAAACCCATAGAGGTAGGATTAGAGAATGCCACTTCTTCTTATGGTATTCTCGTATCCCATATATATGGTTTTAACTAATCCCATGTAACAAATAATCTCTTATATTAAACGCTCTTTTAATAGATTTTTTCAATCTCAATCTCAATCCCTCCAATGCTTCCTACCAAACACAATCATGATGTTTTACATAACAATTACAAATAACTATTTTTTTATTTTTACAAATACTTTAAAATAATTTATTTAATTTTTTAACTGCTCCAAATTAACCAACTGAGTTTCATATTAAGCATATGAGATAGTACAATATTAATATTAAATGATATCTTTTTTAAAATATCCTTGAAAAGAACTTAAAGCTACTAAATTAATTACGACTTACTATTTTCTCACGCGTATTTTTTGGACCCCAGCTACTTTTATTCATGGTGCTCAACTGCTTATTGATATGTGTCCGTCAATCGACAATAGGCTTATCTCCCTCGGATCCTAACCGTCAAGTTTTATTTTAGGTGTAAGTACAATATCTCATTTTTGTTTACATGGATCCACTTTATTTTTATATTTATCTATCTTTTCTTAATGTAATTTTATGTCTAATTATAATAATTAACTAAATTAATTAATTTTTATTATTCATACAAATTAATTAATTAGTTTCTATATTTAGAATTAGAAGAGTATTTGACAATAGAGATTAGAGAGTAAAGTTTAGGTTATGTAATTTTTTTGCGATATGGAGTTCAAAACAAAAACAACTTTTTTCAACCATCTTTAAAAATTTCTACTTTAGAATTGTAAACTTAAAACTATCTAAAATAAATTTAGATAATTTAGATTTTATCATAATGCAGTTTTTTTGGTGGTGCGCGCGAACTACCTGCAAAAATCAAACCCACAATCTCATGTTGATTCAAATTACTCTCAACAAAGATTATTAATTAGAAGAGTTTGGTTAATTAATAAAAAATTATATAATTAGTTACGAATATTAAGTTAAAAATTAATATTTTAAACAAAATATATTGCATGATCAAACATGCAAAATGTTTTACAATAACAGCAGGTAATATTTATTACTGTGGCAATCCTTTATTTATTATTTAATCATTATGCCCATCCTCCCACCCTTCTTCCTGCTTGTTGCTTTGTGTTTTTACTGGGATATTGTTGTGTTGACCAAAAGGCCCTTTTCTTCTTAACCATGGTTAAATTGAGCTCCTTTAATTGATCATTATTATGTGTTGCTTTTGTAAACATTATCTTATGATCATTGTGTTCCTAATTAATTGCTACAACTTTAGCCCTGGGGATCATCATCACCATGATATCTGATTTCCAATTACCATCGTGCCCTCTCACTTACCGCCCCCATACGCCTGCCCATTGGACCACATTTTCCTGTAACATAATAAATACTATATAATATTTCCACATAATTATTGTTGTTTTTTTATTTTTATGATTTTGACTGTACTTTATACTATATTTCTTTACTAGACATGTCACATTATGGCATTGCTGTATTGGACCGTGATATCAATTAATTAAGTTCCCTTTTTTGTGGCTGGATACTTACATTTGTGTGTGTGTGCGTGTGTGTGTGTGTATATATATATATATATATATATATATTAAAAGAGATAAGAATGAAATGCATATATTTTTAAAAAATTATATTCATAATCTAAATTTTATTGCTTTTTTAAAAAAATTGATCCTTTATTAATTTGTCTCGATTCATAGTTAGAAGATTAGTTTAATTATGCCTTCTATTTTTTTTAAAATACGATGAACTAAGGAATAAATATAAAATTTGTAAATCGAACTCTTCAGAACAATTTAAACAATAATATGAATTTGTATATATTTTTGTTGAACTTTTTAATAAATTAGTAAAATAATGATTGGACTGGCTGGCATTAGAATAATAATGATAAATTGGATCTGTTTGTGCACATCCTTATAATATATTTCTTTAAGTTAAAGCAATTTATTCTGTGATATTAATCCAGGGAAATTAATAAACATAGCATAAGATTTAGAAAAGATGACAAAAAAAAACTGAAAATTACTAAATCCCAAATTATGTTTGATAACAACACTTTATTTAATATTAACAATACTGAATCTGCAAATAATAACAAATTTTTGTCAACATTCATTACTTGACATTTGGTAAGTCTTAGCTTCTTTTTTGTCATTTTTTCTAAGATTTAAGCTAGCTTTTAATTAGTCGGTAACCACTTAGTATTAACAGACTTCTTCCACTGTTCGAACTCAATTACATTACAAACCTAGATTAATTTCGAAGTTATTTTGATGTGGAATATACAAGTTAATGGTAATTAATTAAATTCATAAGAAGATATTATACGTAGAATCATTTTGCTTTTCTTTGGGAGAAGGGAACTTAATTAGCACAGACATTGTAATTAGTTTAGTGTAAACCAAGCTTGGAACTTTCAAGTAGATAAATTAAAACACACATCAAGCAAGGAACCAACAACTACGTTAATAATAACCATAAACGCAAACCAACAAACATCAAAGACCCACCATTTTTTTTTTCATGAAGCTGGCAAAGAAAAAAACCATTTTTATGGAAAAGCACAAAATTGCATTTCCTTATAAAACTATAGAATTAATTTATTATTCCTTTTTACTATTCACATTCCTTAAAACAAAATTAATTACTTTCAATGTACAATGTATATATACATGTGTGTGTGCTCGTGTGTTCTATATAAAGGTTGTTTTAAACTTGTTACCATGTATAAATGAAAATATCTAGAAAATAAGATTTTAATTTAAGATATGAATAGTGGCCTTGGCTAGCGTGGATAGTAATTAATTTCTACAACGTTCGAAAATTTTAGTTACTTTATGTAACTTTGAATATCATTTTCTCTTATTTTTAAATTGTCAAACACTTTAAGTAAACATGTAGAAGTGTATGATTTCAATAATTAGGTACATTATTTTTATAATTCAATATTGTATGAATAAGTATTTTTAAAAAAAATTGTTTTTATCAAATCATTTTTATTCGTTAATCATATTAGATTTTAACTAATCCCAATTGAGTAGGAAAGAACACATAAGGTGACAAACTCACCCAATAAATATTCCATATGGTTGCATGCCTGCAAGTTAAGTTAGCATAACCTTATTTTCAATTTTTTAAATAAAATTTATATTTTTATTAAAATAATTGATAATTAAATGTAGAAAATCATCAATATAAAAATAACTTTTTTTAAGCACCAAAATAATTCTGTTTGGAGCTTGTACAAATAGACAAAAGGTCACCAACTCAGGGGCAGTATGGTAAATTCAGGACTGTATAACCTATTCTTAAAATAGTCTTTTCTATTTTCCGGCTTCTCTCACAGCGCAAAAGAAACTTCCCTTAAACCCTCCTCCTTGATCCTCCACATGTGCCTCTCTCTTTTTGGTGTAAGAAACCATGGCCTTCTTTAACACCATCCTCCTCCTCCTCCTCCTCTCACTCTTCCTTCTTCTCCCTGTCCCCTCTCTCTCTTCCCCACTCTCTCTCTCCTCCTCGTCGTCGTCCTCCTCCTCCTCCATTCATGACCTGCTTCGCTCAAAAGGCTTGCCGGCCGGACTCTTGCCCGATGATGTCAAATCCTACAAGTTGTCGGAAAACGGCTTATTGGAGGTTTTTCTCGACGGGCCTTGCTTGACGAAATACGAGAACAGAGTATTCTTTGACAGCGTCGTGAGAGCTAATCTCACGTATGGTAGTCTCATCGGAGTCGAAGGTCTGTCTCAGGAAGAGCTATTTCTATGGCTTCCCGTCAAGGATATCATCGTCGATGACCCCACATCTGGGTTGATACTGTTCGACATTGGGGTCGCTCACAAGCAGCTCTCTCTCTCACTCTTCGAAGATCCGCCTCACTGCAAGCCCCAAGGTAATTCGGATCAAACCAGCTAGCTAGCTCCTTCTAATTCTCCGGATCGGTTTTTAATTCTTGTGATGAAGTGAGATCTGTTTCTTGATGTAATTGAGCTTGCTTTGCTTTTTTGATCTTTCTTCTTGTTTTGTTTTTTCTGTTTTGCTTGTCTGTTTGGTTCATTTATCTTTATTTGCTTTTCTGAGTTTGGGGACACATCACGTGGCGCTTTGTATTTTGATGATTATTTTGTGTTGTTTGTGTGTACGAAACAACTTTTTGAAGGGCGTTATGGCCTGTTCTGATGTCTGAGTGCTTCAGTAAATTCATGATTCTGTTTCTGAAACAAAATTGCATACAAACAATAATAGTTCATTTGCTCATAATATCTACCCCTCTGGATCGCTTTCCCACCCAATTCTTCTGTTCTACTCTCAAAAATATTAACAAAACAGGATGACAGAAAATGTGTGTGTGAGAGTAGGGGAGAGGGAGAGAGATTCAGTAGGACTTTTTCATCTTCAGATTTCAATAATTATTCTGCAAAATCATACGGAGCACAGTTTCTTCATTTCAATGATCTTTTTCCAGGTACTGGTGCGTGTCAGAGAATTTTTGTACTTGAAACATCTGATTTGGATGCGATCTTGTTAGAATTTTTCACACTTACTGTTAGTGGAAAGAGGGGTGTTTAAAAATTTTCAAGGACGATGGGTTCAAAATAAGAGAGGGTTAAGTTAATTGGTTGATATATATGGTTGTTTCTTTCATTCGCCATGTTCTTCAACTTTTGGCCTGCACTTCTCGGAGGCATGTCAGATCAGAGAAAAGCCACACTCCTTTTTCTCAGTGATCCTTTTCTTTGTGGTCGTAATGTTTGAGGTTGAGGCTAATTCTGATTCTGTGGGCTGTGCAGGTGGTTTGAAACTGAAGAAGCATGTGAGGAAGGAGAGAGGATTCGAGGCTATGAGATAGAAAACAAATAAAGAAAAAACAGAGAGATGCCACCCTGTTTTCAACAGGGCTTTCCTTATTATTGTATTTTTCTCTGTCATCATGTTCATATTTATATATATAAATATATAAATGTTTTTATATGATCTTAATTAGCTCTGCAATTATAGTCATATGAGTAGGCTTTTCTAGAGTTAGAGAGGTTTGTTTGGTGAGAGGGAGAGGGAGAGATTGTAAAGAAAAGAATTGGTGGGGAAGATGATGAAGAACCTGGGAATTGAATCTGCTTTGTCATAATCATCAAATTTATAACTTCTAAATCTTCCAACTTTTTTTCTTTTGCTTGTTCCCTTGTTCTTGTTCTGGTCTGATGTGTTGGAACTTTGAAGATAACAAGTGCCAAAGCAAGGGATCAAAATCCAGCTGGGTTATATATTTATATATATGTTTAGACTAAATTAAGCAATGATTAAGGCTGCTTGGGAAAATGGAAGAAGAGTGATATTAGGAATCTGCTGATTAATTAATTGTCTTTCTTTTCAATTATTTTTCCACTTTTAAAGGCATATTAATTATTGGCATTTGCAAATTGATGTCTTGTTCTTTGCTTTGTCTTGTGCCAATGAATAGTAATTGGAATAAGCTGATGAGTTGGATTCCCTTTCTTTCTTTCTTTTTTTTTTTTTTTTTTTTTGACCTTGTATTATAAGACTTTGTGATTCTTGAAAGCACAAGTGGAAAGTGAATTATTGGCAAACTTGGTTAATTATTTCAAAAGCATCCTATATTTTCTTAGATGGATTTTTTTACTGTTATTTTTTCCCTTTTTTAAATTAAAATATATTTTTAAAAAATTTTCATTATAAAAAAAATGCGAAGGAACTATTTTATTTTATTTTTTTATGCTTAAGGGCCAATTTTATGTACAGAAAAGTAAAATAGTGCACTAATAATACATCAACAAATAAGGAAATAATGCCCACACTTAGCACAAACATGAATTGGAAACTAAAATTATTAGTTATAATTATTCCCTCTTTTTGGATAACAGTGCTTCTGAACATCTCATTCTAATTACTCCCACCATTTCTTACTATCTTTCATAAAAAATTATTTTCCATGTTTCATAATTTTTGATCCTAAGAATGGTGTGTTAAAATTTTTATTTTTTATTTAAATAATATTTTAAATTTTAAAAATATGATATTATTCAATTTTTTTAACTTCTGTAAAAATTATTTGTGCGCAAGTAACATATAAAAGTATAAAACAGAAGGAAATTACAACTTGCCAGGTCCTCTCAGTCTCAACTCAACTCGGATGGAAAAGAAGGGGGCCCAGTGAAGTGGGGCGTTGCGTTCACGCGGGAAACGTGGGGCCAGTCACGGTTTGAACTGTATGTAGGCCCCACCCGACTGCCTTTTCCTTCTCTTTGACTTTCGTGACTCGCTACTTCACCTTCCTATTTGCCTATTTTTCTATTTGTATTTCGTATAGATATTCCAATATTAAATTATATAAATTAATTTGAAAAAAATACAACTCCCGCTTCTTAATAGAAGACCTTATTTAATTTTTATTTTGGTTCTAGATATAATACCCCAATCCACTTTGTCTCTCATATTTATACATTTTTTTGAAAGTAATCCTTCTAATAATGATAGATCTGGCCAATAAACTTGATTAGCACGGATATTTTAGGAAAGACAACACTTATTTAAGATAAATAACTAACTTAATTTACTTCTTTAATCTCTTCAAATTAGTTAATTAACTCTTATAATTAAGACCAGAGGTAGTAATAAATATAAAAGATAAAGTGAATAGAAATACCATATTTAAAATAAATCAACCCGCAAATCCCAACTAATTCTTACGTGAAAAACTCGAGTGAGTAGTAGGAATAAGGTATATAAATGGTTTTTTTTTTTTAGCCAAAGTATATAAATGGTGATTAAATGCATCTCTATATGCATGTATAATAAGATTTTATCTTTTAAGTTGAATGAATGTGATGTCTATAAAATATTCCTACTTATTTAATTATCATCGCCTCCCTTTCAAATATAATGCAATTTTTTATTTTGAAAATCTTTATTTTTTTTGGTCATGTGAGCATTTTACAGAATTATAGGGAAAGTTAATATTTTTTTAACTAAATTCTAATAGAAACGTATCAAATTAAGAGGAGCTTGATAAGTAATCATTGAAAGATTTGCATGAATTAATCTGGAATGTTCTGTCGTGATTATCTTTATACTTCTTTAATTGGGACATAAACCTTCCCTTTTGACTTGTGGCTGTAAATTCCCAATGTTAAATTCTTAATTGACTGAAAAGGGCCCATGCGACAATAATATCAAATTATCAATAATTCAAAGGGTATCATTAGTTGGATTCTTCAATAATTCCGTCAATATTTTAATCATTCACACAGTATTCCATGAAATAAAAAATTAGTAGTAATAATAATTAAATTGATTATCTTTGATAGGGCAATCAAATATCATATATGTGGTCCTAACAAAAACAAAAACGTGAGTTGCTTAGCCAAAAAACAAGATGATAAAAAAAAATTAACGAGAATCATTCGTTTCATTGAGTGCTACAGATAGTTTTGTCCTTTCATTTTTATTTGTTTGTGAAAAGCCACAATCAACATGTCTTTTTCCAATAATAATAGATGCTAATAGACTTCAATTGTAAGCAACAATTTTATGAAATTAACTAAAGAATTAATAAAATGTGTTTTTTTTTTGGGTAGAAAAGGAAAAAGTGGGTCATTTATTGTTTTGAGCAATTGGATATTGCAGGCCGGGACATGTCTCTCGTGTTGTAAATTTCTCAACTACATCATATTAATTACGCAACCTGCCCAAAAAAAAAATGATATGCACTGACACTAGAAATAACAGAAAATACTACCCATAATATTAAACCCAGTTAACTAATTTAAAAAAATTAAGAAAAAATTATTTAATTATAATATTTGTTATATGATTTCTTTAAAATATTTATATATTACCTTCGATTTTTAATATAAGAACTTGTTTGACTTTTATTTTGGTTCTAGATATAAAACATTAATTCACTTTGTTTCTTATATTCATTCTTTTTTTTTCCTAAGACAGTTATTGCAATAATAGTAGTTCTAACCAATACACTTGATTAGTAAGGATATTTTAGGAAATATAAACCTATTTATCACAAATAACTAACTTAACTAGTTTTCTTGATCTACTCAAATTAGTCGACTAGCTTTTATATTAAAAACCAGAAATAGTATATCATTAGATTATATATCAGTTTATAAAACAGGCAAATTAGTTTAGAGAAAAAAGATAAATATAATACTTTAAAGTAATTTATTTACCTTTGTTAATTTTTTTAAATTAGTCAACTAGATCGTATATAAAAAACTAAAATGTAGTGTGGATAGCCAGTAGAGGTTAACTTAATTAGTAAAAATTTGGTTTATAACACATAAAATTATGAGTTTAAAATTCCGCTGCCAGTATAATTTAGCTCTTTCATGATTATAAATTAATAAATTAACTTTAGGAATCATTCTTTTAATTATAAATGTTTATTATCTTCTCTCAGTTGCATTGTTAATTTTTCGTTACTCTCTTCTGATCATCAATCGCTATAGATTTTGACTTTTATCACACAACTAGCACATATTGATAGCTCGTCCGAAGGGGCAATTGCAATCATCATTTAGGATATCCTTGTTTTTTTGAAAATAATTTTCTAGTTTAGATACTGTAGCTATTAATAATCCTTCTTCTGCTCTTTTTTCTATTCTTATTTTTTGTTGCTTCTCTTTAGTGATCAACTTCTTTAGTGATAAACGGTTCTTAATATAAGAGTTAGTTCACTAATCTGAGTAGATTAAGAAAACTAATTAAGTTAGTTATTTGTAATAAATGTGTGTTGTCTGTCATAAAATCTCATTGCTGATCAAGTATACTAGCTAAAACTATTATTAGTAAAAAGACTACCCTGAAAAAAAAGATAAATATGAGAGATAAAATAGATTGAAATCTTATATTTAAGATCAAAATAAAAGAAAAAAAAACCTTTTATTAAAAACAGGAAGTAATATATATATAATGTCATGTTTTTCTTTTTAATGTCATTTGATTATTTATAGCTTTCACCATTGCCCTACTTACTTATCTAGAGAACACAGAACATACACAATGTTCAACTTGTTTGGATGGGCGGTTGGTGGGCCAAAAAGAGCTTATCATCAGCTTAAGCCCGTTTGTAGAATTCGAGGGTGTTTGGGAGAGCTTTTAGGCTATTCCACTTCAGTACCAAAAGGCAGATCACACCGTGTGTTCTGATAAGCTACATGGGAGGAGCTTTTTAAAATTGAATTGTGCTTATATTGGATCGTTACGAAAATAATTTTTTTGTCGGATGGTCATTTTTTCCTTCGTCCAATTATCTGCTCATTTATTCCTGTCTCCTCATTCGTAAAACTCGGACCTTTGATGCTAGAGAGAAGAGGTTGTGCCATTGACTCCGTCGCTCCTCTGCCATCATTTCCGTTCGTTGGCCGGCATGAGGTGAGTCTTGTGTTGGGTCTGGTGGGTGAATCATCTTTGCGTGTTTCACTAATCGTCCAAAGCTGTTCGCACATTGGATTTGAAGACTCCCCTGGAAGTTGTGGCAGCCGATGTTTGAGCATTGGGGGTGAGTTGTCCGTGTTATATCTCGGCCAAAGAGTACAATACAAAGGCCGATCTACCTTTCTCAGGCTCTGTTGTTGCGGATCCGGTACATACCATACAGAATCTCTGTTGTTTCCTTTCTCTTTTCGTCTACCTTTCTCTGGTTGTATGTAATGGGCGAACTGTAGATTTTTAGTGGAGTTGAGTTGATGTAAATGTTGTGAATTTATCCGAGCTTGGTTTTGTCTAGTTAAGCTAGCTGGTACCGCAAACTCGCGAAAGGTAGTTCCTTCTCTGCAGAGTTAAAGAACAACCATGAGGCCGATTTTGATGTTAATTCGATTGCATGTAATGGGTTCAAGTATGGATTTTGCTGTTAGAAACTGAACTTGTTGAGATTTTTAGTGGATTTTGCTGTTACGATTGTCTGTAAACAGCCGTATTTTTTTTTATGTTATCCCGTGTTTTTTTCTTCCAACACCTATTTCGGCCATAGAGGGGAGAAAATTTTTTCGAAAAAAAGAAGAAGAAGTGATATATATGGGAGGAGTGTATAAGTCGGTTGATAGCAACACAAAGAATATAGAATGAGCACGTAACAGGAAAAAAAAAGAAAAAAAGAAGGATAGTATGAGCAACTGTTGGTCATTAAAAAATTGGAATTATCCATGAGAGATGCAAACCTAAAGCTAGTAAAGAAACCAGTGATGTTGCTTCAATGAGAGACGAAAAATGCAATAGGAAATGAAAAGAAATTTAGACAGAGCCGAAGTAATAAACCTGCAAGAAGATTTCTCTAAAGTTTATATTTAAAATATTTCTTATGATTTCTCCAAAATTTTCAAATTTAATTTACTCCTTAAATTTCACTTCTTCATTATATTATCTCAATTCATTTTTTTTTCATGTTTCACTTTATATTTAAAAATTTAATTTACTCATTAGTTTGACCTCTTCATATTAAATTATTTCAATTTTATTGTATTATGTGAATCATTTTTTTAATCAGGTTTCATTATTTATTAAAACTCATACTCATTTTGGTCATTATACAACTAAATTTACTTTTACTCAATCATAATCAAGATAACTTTATACTAATCTTATTTTTACAAACCAACTTTTTATAAATTCCAATCTAAACACAATTTAACTTATCCAATTTAATTTTTATTCAATTTTATTTTTTTAAAAGTCAAATTAATAATAAACTATTTTTTTAATCGCTAATCTAAACGGACCCATAAAGTTCACTTCAGTCAAAGTGTTCTACTACAGCGAGGTGCAACGTGCATGACAAAAGAAACTGAAACGTGGAAACAATCGCCGATGCCACGTTTTCTTTTATTCTGCATATTACTGAGTTTTGTTGATTTTATAAATATGTAAAAATCAGAAAAAATTCTTTAAAAAAATAGGAACTCAGAATCCCAAAACAGTTTTCTTTTCTACATTTTTAATAACAATTGATTACATATTCTAAAGAGTAAATAAGAGGCATTTTTATTGTTTTTTCCTTCGAATTTTAAAGTCCCAATCTAGGATCTCATAAAATTTTAAAATTTTATAGCACTCTCTATCAAATATCATTTTTCTGGCTCTTTATATATCATTTTCCTCCTTTATTTTTGACAAAAAAAATCTCCATATTGAATTCAATTTTTATTTCATAAAACTAAACACTTACACACGCACACACAGCCAGAGGCGATATTTTTCTTAGTGTTCCTGCCAAAATATAGGTTGCCTGGTTATCAGGTGGCTAAAGTGGCTGTAATTAAACCAAAAATCAGTATTTGTCGTTGAAGAAAATTACAAGGCAAAATAGCAGTAAACTGTAAAAATATGCAGCGGTCTTTATGAATCTAAGGGCTCGTTTGGGATCACGTTTGGGCCTCCAAACAAACGTGCATTCCCATCTGACTTTTAACAGGCTGTGTTTTTCAACATGTTTGGATTCACGTTAGGCCAATCTGACTCCTGAGGTGTAGATGGACTTCCGGGAGAAGCTATTTTTTGGTGCTTTTTTTTGGATGCTGTTGGGCGTTGAGAAAACCGTTAGAATTTTTATTAGGATGTTAAAATTTTTTACCTACCTGACCCTGTATGATTCTTCTCTCACCTCAGCAAAGAAAAATGACGCACACACACACATAATCTGTTTTGAAACACGATATGAAGCTAAACGGGAGCTTCGCGACGTCTTCTGCCATATCCTCGCCGTGCGCCTGTCGTCTCCCGTCATGTCTCTGCCATCTCATCAGTTCTGGTTCTTGTGTGGGAGTGGGTGGACTGTGGTCTTCTTCATCTTCTAGTTCGTTCGCTTGCTCTTCTTCTTCCTCTATTCGGTTGCAAGCCAGCGTCACCGTCTGTTGTTGCCACCGCGCGGATCACGTCTGCTCTTGATCTACACTGGTTAGAGTCTCGTTTGTTCACCTGGTAAGAGATTAGTGTTTTTGGTCCCAGATCTGCTCGTCTTTGATGCTTGTTCTTGGCTGCCATTGCTAGAATTTTTTGGACCCATAGCTGTTATTGATTTAGGAGTGTTGATTTGATGTTCTTGCTCTTGATCTGATGTTCTTTCAATTAATGTGTCCTAGCTGTTGAACTGGGTAGGATCGTAAGAGGAAGAATGACTACCCTTTTCCTGTTTCTTCCATAGCTATTAAATGAAGGAGGTTCTGCGGTTTTTTGGCTTTGTGTCTTTAGTCTGTCTTTCCTGTTAATTATTTGCGACAAGCTCGGACTGGTTGGCGCATTTTATTTTAAAATTTGAAGATCTGTGTTTCGTGGTTAGTATGATTGGCCTGGTGTTGAATCATCAACTTATAATGATATGAAAGAACCAAGAAGAGAAGAGAGAGAGAGAGAGAGAGGAGTAACCTGGTGAGTATGATTAATTAAATATTTTATTATTTTTCAATTTCCTTCTAATAATAACTTAAATTTTTTTATTTTTAATAATTTTATTTTCAATACTTTTGTTAAAATGGTCACATTATATATATAATTTCTTTATAACAATAAATTAAATTTTCTTATTTTTAATGATTTTATTTTCATTACTTCATTTAAAATGGTCACATTATATATATAATTTCTTTCTAATAATAAATTAAATTTCTTTACTTTTAATAATTTTTATTTTTTTTACTTCTTGAAAAATAGTCACATTATATATATATATATATATATCCAATATTAGATATGTACTATTTAATAAAATTCATGTTCTTTAAGTCATTTTACATCCAAACAAGTTTCAGCTTCTCAAACTAACTTTTTTTTCAAAACCCAATCCAAACATAAATCACATTACCCTATCTGATTTTTACTCAATCTGACTTCTGTAAAAGTCAGATTGGAAAAAAGTTACTTCTGCCACCGCTATCCCAAACACACCCTAAGATTTTTTCCTAGATTTTCGTTGCAAATTAAAGGATATGAAATAAATATCAAAATGTCACATATATATGTTAATACTAAATCAAAAAATATCATACAGTAATACTTACAAATTAAAAAATTGATAGAAAAACTCTATGCAATTTATTTTCAATTAATTATCTTTAAAACAAAAATATTATATTTAGTTGAAAATATGTCGGACGTAATTGAAATATAATTACAACTATTGAAAATGAGTTGCACACATTCAATTCAAACTCTTCAAAAAAAAAAACTTTTTAATTAGAGATTCTGTAACAAATTTTCCTATAAAAATATGTTAGATAATAAAATATATTATTTATAATTAATAAGTTGTTGGTTAATATGGTAAGTTTTTTTAAATTTGAATCTCAGAAAGCACACTTGTTAAGAGAATTTTAATCTTAATACTCTAACAATCTTATAAAAATTAGTCTCAAATTTAAAGTGGTTTGAGATAAATTCTGAGTTATAAAAAAATGTTATTTATATATATTTATAAAATTAATTGATAAAATTCAGTATCAGTATCAGTAATATACAGAATAAAAGAAACGTCTCCGCGTTTTAGCGTCTTTTATTCGGTATATTTATTTTTGACTGTGCATATTACCCTTCGCAGCACGGCACGGGAACACTGTCACTTTGGTTGCATACGTGGCGCCATCTGACAGAAATAATCCAACGGTGCCTCATCCATCACGCGTCGTCGGAATCAAATCATCACTATTATCTCACATTTTTCGGTTAAAATGATCTGATCTTATCTTAAATCCTGTGGGCCTACTTCTTCTCCGCTAAGCAAGGACCTGAAGGGCCGAAGCCATTCTGATTCCTCTACGGTTACCTCCCCGGTTTTGCTGATTTTGTATTTTTTCACGGCTGATCGGAGACAGTATGGGAGGAGGAGGTGCGATGAGGACTGCCATGAAGGTCGCCGGTCTCGGCGCCGCCAACGCCAGTCTCCGGGGCGTGTCGATGACGCCTGTAGCCGAACAATCGGTGATGAAGGCGTCGCGTCCTACGTCCGCCGGCGTGTCATCGCAGGGAGTGAAAGCTGCGACAGCTGAAGTGGCGGCGCCGGTACACACAGCGGCATCCTGGGAGGCGGATGATTGGGAATTCGCTGACAGTGAACTGGTTATGGAGGCCGGGGAGCCGATGCCTAGGGTTGTGTTCAATGCTGTGCCCTCGTTTCAGGAGGCTAAGGCCGCGACAACAGAATTGAAAGAAGCTGTTGATCAGTATGTGAACTTCTATACAGCTATGGTCGAAATTTTGGTTTTTCTCCTTTTATTTCGGAGACTAGCATTTAATTTGAGAAAAATAATAAATTGGACAACTTTAACTATTTGTGATTCAAAATTATAACATACTAGGTGGAGCTGTTTATTCTGATTTGTTAAGTTGCATTTTCTGATTCGTTTGTGTTAACTTTCACGAGTATAGGCTCTTTCCCTTGTAGAGTCTTCCTCTTTTATTTTGGTTTTTCTAATTTCCAGCTTTGGCCTTTTCTGATTATTGCAATTATGTTCTTTGGTAAAATCTGTTTTGAAGGCCACGCATCAATAATTTTGTGCAAGATGCTTTAAATTTTATCCAAGTGCGAAGAATGCCCAATAGGAAGAATGATGTGCCGCTTAGTCACCCTTATCAAAATCTTCCCCTTATTTTATTCTTGTCTTTGGAGAAAATTTTATCTTTAGTTTGGTTAACCAAATGGCCACTTAATGAAGTTTGAGTGGTATGTCATGGTAATAAATACTTGTTTTTCCTTTAAACTCTCTTCCTATGGCAATGTTATGAGAAAGTATATATAGTTTTATATCAGTCAAAACTAGTGCTCTGCTTAGTTTACGTGCTTTGTGCTAATGATGATTGATTTGAGCCTATCCAAGCAGATTGAGAAGTGGAGTGGTTCAAAAGTTAAGCTGGGAAGTAGGTTCTTCAAATTTATGATCATCTTATTGTATACTCCGCAGTCATTGTGTATTAACTGTCTCTTTATTTTGTCTGTGCTCTCCATAATGTGATGAAATCTTCTGTAATTTAAGTTTCCAAAAAAGCAAATAAATATATCCATGCGCTGCTGTCTCCTGTGGCTCTCTCTCTCTTTCTATGGGTGTGTGGATGTGTATTGTTGGTTGCACTTAAGAGGATTTCCACTTAAATGTTTATGAAATCCTCTCTATTCTAAGATTCTTTTGTTGTTGAATATTTTAGGATATACCTGTCTTCTAGTTCTTCTTGCTCTGCCGACAAACATGAGATTTCCTCTGATGGTAGTCAAGTCTCTGTTAAGTCTCCTCATTCAGAGCTGGAGATTAAATCTTGTGAATCTGAACTCATCCCAAAGCATGCCCTTCAAGCTTTTCAATTTCTGAGCACTAGTTCTGAGGCCCAGGTAAGTAATAATATAGTGATTGCTTCGTCTCAACATGAGAATCAATGCATAACTGGAAATTCATCAGCAATCCAATTCCAAAGAGGTTACTGATTTCATGCTTGGAACTTGTGATTGACTGAATCAATCTGGCTGTCTTTGGCTTTATCCAGACTGTTGTGGCTTCTATTGTTTCCGACCCGAATGTATGGAGTGCGATAATGCAGAATTCTATGCTGAATGATTTCGTTCAATCACAGGAGAGAGGTAGCTATCACTAAAGGGGTTTGCCCTTGCGATTTCCATTACTCTACTGATCTTGTATAACTAATTCTAGTACCAAATACTTCTGCAGGTATTGGCTTTGAACCAGAGAAGTCTTCCATAAAGCTGGAAGAGTTGCCTGATTCTGACGATGAAACTAGTAGCCCAGGAAAGGGTTTCCTTCATGGTTTCAATGATTTAATGCAGAATGTTAAGCTCACAGTAGCTGAAATGATAGGCAGCGTCTCAAGTTACTTTCACAACTTATTTGGGTTTTTATCACCTGAGAAGGCGGGTTCTGATGGTGCTGAAAAGTCAAACACAATCTTTTTAGATCATGTTACTATGAAAGGAACTTTCATGGGATTGGCTGTGCTGGTTGCCATGGTGGTTCTGTTTAAGCGAGCTTGAACCCCCCCTTTCGGGCAGCAGTGCAAATTTGTCGAACTTTCGTGTCTGGAGATTGACTCGATCAGGTTTACCTTTTGGTCCAAATGGCTTTCCTATCTTAGCATTTAGTTGTATGTAAGATGCGTATGAAGTGGATTTTACTTGTCTAAGATGGAATTTGCTATGCGAAATTCCTTGTGATTATTGGTATGCTTGGGGTTTAGAAGTGATGTGTTTTGTAGAACATTGGCTTTACTTTGAGTCTCCCGTCAGGATTCTATTCGTCCGTCAAGTTAAATGACAAAACCAATCCTTTGGATTGAAGTGTTGTTTATGGGTTTGTTTGGATTCATGATCAATTAGTAAAACGGAAGTTATGACTAAACTTTTCTCATATATATATTTATCTTGATTAAAAAACTGCTTATAAATAAGTCATTCCGATCCTGGTGTTCAACCTCGAAATGAAACGGTGAACAGTCACTGATGAATGGGGAAATTATTTAATGGTCTGCCAAAAGTCCCATAAACAAATCAATTTGAGAAGAGGAGTTTTTGAGGGAATCTTAGGTCAGCCTTTCTATTCCCAGCAAAATATTGGAGCCGCTAAACGTGAAATCCGATTATACTTTACTCGTGTGGAGGTAAAAATGATCTAATTTTGTAATAATCAATGTGTCAATTAACAGCAGTGCTTAGGCATTGTAGACTCTCCGATGTTCGTAAAGCAAACGAATTTATTTATTTATTTTGATATTTCATGAGATAAAATTTTCTTCACATTTATTTCATAGAGCTTAAATTTACTTAAATAAGTTAATTCAATAAACATTTATCAAACGGTGACGTCATAAACAGAAAACTACCTCTATCGACATTAAAATGTTAGAAGTCTTTGAGGGAGGGTATGTTAGTAATTATATTTCTTACCTAAAACTCCTTTGATTCTTCCTCTCGGTTTTCGAAAGAATATGTGATTGGTACATGCATATATAATACTTTTCTAGTTCTGTTTATAAGCCATTTTTAACATGTTTTACATAGATAATTTTTTTTTAAAATTTTATTAGCTCTCATTTAAAATTTAATAATTTTCTAATTTTATCCCTATTTAATATATAAAAGCAACACAATAATAAATGAAAGGTAAAATTATACATTCATATAAAAAATTTCTCTCAGTGCCATGTGAAATACTAAAATATGTCTTCTTTTCTCTATCCCATAAATAAGACCAAATGAACATAATACTAGGAGACCCCAAATTGTAGAATGTGGCTTTTGCCATTGTGACAAGATGCAACTAGCAACCTTACAAATTCCTAAAGATATGTAGAGTGTACGCATGATTTGCATATCTTAGAATTAATTTGAATAGTTTTTTTAAATAATAAATTTAAAACCACCAAAATTCAATATGGTCAATTAATTTAAACATATACAACATCCTGCTCTTAATATAAGAATTTGTTTGATTTTTATTTTGGTCATAAATATAGACCGCAATCCATTTTGTTTATCATATTTATCTATTTTTTTTCAAGGTAATCCTTATAATAATGATAGTTCTATCTAATACACTTGATTAACAAGATATTTTAGAAAAGACAATACCTATTTATTATAAATAACTAACTTAATTAGTGTTTTTAATCTATTCAAATTAATTAACTGGCTTTTATATTAAGGACCGGAGGCAGCATACACACACATATATCCCGCATGCCTTTTACTCAAATGAGTAAGGAACTCATATGATTCTTATGAGCACGTTATCTCCATAATCAAAGAAACAGTTTAAGACGTGAGTCAAATATATCCGGTTGCAAGAAGCCGACATTGCCGTATTTATCTTACAGTTCAAATAAAAGCATATATTCAAGGGTTAAGGTGCACCCAGTACCCCCAAGTATTTTGTCAGGTGCACCCAGTGGCCTAAAGTAATTTATGATGTAATTTTACCCTCAAAGTAATTAAAATGGTGCACCGGTATTCCATACTAACAGATCTGTTAGTTTGACCGTTAAATTGATGAGTCAGCACAAGTTTGACCAGAAAATCTGACGTGGCATGTCTAATAAGCAGGTGATGTGGAATTTTTTCGGGGTTAAGGTGCATCCAGCACCCCCAAGTATTTTTCCAGGTACACCCAGTGGCCTAAAGTAATTTATGGTGCAATTTTGCCCTCAAAGTAATTAAAATGGTGCACCGATATCCCATGCTAACAGATCTGTTACTTTGACTGTGAAATTGATGAGTCAGCACAAGTTTGACTAAAATAATTTGACCTAGCATGTCTAATAAGCAGGTGACATGGCTTTTCTTGTTAGTTCCATTGTTTTGTTTGAATATTACTCCTCTGGTCTTATTTATAAGGCACTTCTAGCATGTTTCACACAGACTAAGGAAAACCCTAAATTTCATTAACTCTTATTTAAATTTTAATAACTTTCCAACTTTATCCCTATTTAATATACATTATACCTCATATAAACAAAATCAATACAATAATAAATGAGGTGTAAATTTGTACATCCATACAAAAAATTTCTCTCAATGCCTTATAAATAGGACCAAAAAATATCTTTTCTCTCTACCCTATAAGTAGGACTAGAGGAGTATCTTTGAAAAAATTTCTTACTCTGAAAAAAATTCCAAGAGCTAAAGAGAGCATTTACTGAACAGAGAAAACAAAGCAGTGGCAGACGAAAAAAATTCCACATCACCTGCTTATTAGACATGCCAGGTCAGATTATTTTGGTCAAACTTGTGCTGACTCATCAATTTCACAGTCAAAGTAAGAGATCTGTTAGCATAGGATATCGGTGTACCATTTTAATTACTTTGAGGACAAAATTGCACCATAAATTACTTTAAGCCACTGGGTGCACCTGGAAAAATACTTGGGGGTGCTGGATGCACCTTAACCCCAAAAAAAATTCCACATCACCTGCTTATTAGACATGCTACGTCAGATTTTCTGGTTAAACTTGTGCTGACTCATCAATTTAACGGTCAAACTAATAGATCTGTTAGCATGGGATACCGGTGCACCATTTTAATTACTTTGAGGGCAAAATTGCACCATAAATTACTTTAGGCCACTGGGTGCACCTGGCAAAATACTTGGGGGTGCTGGGTGCACCTTAACCCTATATTCAATGTGGTACTTGCAAAACTCCTTCATTCTTGTTTGTCTCCATGTTATGTCAAGTACAAACAATTAAGTCACTTTTATAATCCCTCCGTTTCTTATTATAAGAGACAAATAGCTAAATTACGTTGATAAAAAAAAACAGTTAAAATAGTTGAGGACAATTAATGTGTAAAAAGTATAATGTTTTTTCCAACAATACCCCTATTAATAAGGAGAGAGGGTATGAGAGAGAACAATTAAATTATTAAAAAAGAGAAGTGGGAGGGAGAGAGAGTATGAGTAGGAGACAAAATAAATAGGGATAAAATAGGAAATTAATACAAAAAACTAGAGACAAATTTTAAGTGTCTTTTATATATGGGAATATGTCATAAGCATCAAATGTCTCTTATAATAAGTAACAGAGGGAGTAGTTTTTTCTTTTAAGCGTAGAAGCAATAATTTTCAAGAATATTGTTCGGCCAAAATTTATTTTTTCGGCAAAAAAAAAAAAATCGAGAATATTGCAACAGGCTACAATGTTTCAGTTTCAAAAAACGCAGGCTGTGACACCCTTCGACTGAAAAAGAATACCTTCCTACGTAATCTTTACGTCGACCAGCCATTATCTGATCATATACGACATGGAATTAATTTTTTCTGATATATATTTTGCTCTTCTATTTTTTGGTTTATGAAAAAGAAAATGGCTGGAATTTGCTGCATAAATCATAAGAAAACCCAAATTATAGTATCTCCCTGTACGTACGTAATTTGGAGAACCCTTTTTTGTTTTGTAATATATAGAAGCATACAAAACCAGTCATAAACATCAAATCATTGGTTCATATAATTAATGTTGACCTGATCACAGCATCTCAGACGGAACAATTATTTGATTTATAATATCAACATCAAAACTTATTTGCCGGGTCAAATAGGTTTTCTATAATCCATGACAAGAATCTACTTCTAGTGTTTGATCCTTAACTCATAATCTAGTTCTACGATAGTGTTAGAACAATATCCCATAATATTAAACTTATAATATCATCATGGTTCAAAAATCAGAATGGGGAATCTTATATGCAATTTTTTTTTTAATTTGCAAGTTGATATTAAAATATCTGTCATGAACAACATGCCCATCTCTATATAAAGCATTCACTTCTTGCCCATTTGCATACCAACTCAAGAGCTTCTCTTAGAATCTATACTTCCCATCAAACACCTAATTCCCATATGGCTTCCAACTGTCAAAACCGCTGTGTTCTAACTTTGTTGCTCATTCTCACAATCTGGAGTTCTGGGGCAATATCCCGGAAGCTTCAAGAATCATCTCTCGCAGAAAGACATGAGCAATGGATGGCCAAGTATGGGAGAGTCTACAAGGATGGCGCAGAGAAGGAAAAACGCTTTGACATATTCAAGAACAATGTTCAGTTCATTGAGTCCTTCAACTCTAATGGCAACAAACCCTACAAGCTCAGCATCAACCAGTTTGCTGATCAAACCACTGAAGAATTCAGGGCCATTCGTAATGGCTTGAAGAGGTCCCACGAATCACTTAAGCTCATGTCCGTGACAGACACATCGTTCAGGTACGAGAATGTCACTGCTCTTCCTGCTTCTGTGGATTGGAGGCAGAAAGGAGCTGTTACCCCCGTCAAGAATCAAGGCGACTGTGGTAAGATATTAAAAATCATGATTTATTCTTGTTTCAATTTGTCTTCTCTTTTGTTGTGTTTCTCATACTGGTTCATTTCATTGTGATATGATAGTAAACTTATCTATCAACTTTTGTTTACATAAAACCAGGAAGTTGCTGGGCATTTTCAACTGTTGCAGCAACAGAAGGGATTCACCAGTTAACTACAGGAAAATTAGTGTCTCTCTCAGAGCAAGAACTTGTGGACTGTGACACTAAAGGTGAGGACCAAGGTTGTGAGGGTGGCTACATGGAAGATGGATTTGAATTCATCATAAAAAACGGAGGGATTACCACTGAGGAAAACTACCCCTACACAGCATCTGATGGAAAGTGTAACACTAACAAGGAAGCATCCCATGTTGCAGAAATTAAGGGTTATGAGAAAGTTCCTGTTAACAGTGAGGAAGCACTTCAGAAAGCTGTGGCCAACCAGCCTGTGTCTGTATCCATTGATGCCGGAGATGGTTCCTTCCAGTTTTATTCAAGCGGAGTTTTTACTGGAGAATGTGGAACACAGCTGGATCATGGTGTAACCGCGGTTGGTTATGGTGTTACCGATAATGGTACTGAGTATTGGATTGTGAAGAACTCATGGGGAACTGAATGGGGCGAGGAAGGGTACGTGAGGATGAAGAGGAACATAGATGCTAAAGAAGGTTTATGTGGAATTGCCATGGATGCTTCTTATCCAACCGCTTAAAAATTTATATATGCATGCTGGCGTATGAAAGTTTATAAAGTTGTCTTAAATTTGCTTTTCCTACCATGTAATGCAGACATATATTTTACCAACAATGAAATGAAGTACTTTGTGATCTTTTTAGTCCAACTTTTTTGTGTTTGTTAAAAAATAGTTTTAGTCCTTTGACTTTACACAAGACTTCATTTTAGTTCATTAACTTAAAAAGTAAATTTTTAGTCTTTTAACTTTAAAACTGTTAACAAAAAATGATGATATTGAGCTCTTGAGTGTTGATAAAATATTACTCATGCAGTCCTAAATATAAGACCCATTTTGTAGTATAATTATTTAATATGTTAGCATTTATTACTCCTCTGGTTCTAAATATAAGACCCATTTTGTAGTGTGACACCAAATGCACGTGCACACTAACTATATACTCCTACGGTGCTTAATATAAGACCTATTTAATTAATTTGATTAGATTAAGAAAGTTAGGTAAGTTTGTTAATTATAAAAAATATGATATGCTTTTTTCTAAAATACCATAATCATCTTCCTTAATATTTCCTCTCCTTCATCTACTTGATTATGAGTGAGGAAGTATCTATAAGGGTACTTTAAAAAAAATTAATAAATATGAGAAATAAGTCTTATACTTAAGACCAAAATTAATTCAACAATTAGGTTCTATATTAAGGACCGGAGGAGTAGTTTTTATAGTTTTTATATATATATATATATATATATATAGTATTACAGGTAGTCATATATACTATTTATAGAACATGAATAATACAATTCATTTTTAGACTCATGCAAGACATGATCCCATAATCGAAAATTTTTTGAAGGTTTTTCTGACCTGGACTTTTTGAATTTTTAAAGCTTAACAGTTGTAGAAGAAACTATAAGCAACCACTTTTTAATCCATATCATAAAAAAAAAAAATCCATACCATTAAGTAGTTGTATATATGAATTATATTTGGGCGAATATGCTTACTAAAAAAATTATGTGTTTTCAATAAGTCGCATAAATTGAAAATGTGAATATATATGAATATATAATTATAAGACTTTATTTGTACTCTACAAATAAAGTTTTATAATTACGACCGGAAGCGCTGTGTATATATATTTGCCGTTAAGTGATCCTATCAACTGAATTATTGTTTTTGAAAGTAAAAAAACCTGAGCTTTTACTTATCCTTTTCATATCAAAACGATGTTTTAAATGAGCAAAATACGCCATCCTTTTTTTTATTAAAAAATCATATGCATATAGACACACACATATTATTCACATGGGCACGTTACGTCCATAATCAGTTACAAAAATTTAGCATTGGTTTTTTTTTTTTAAGGAGATGTATGGTTTATCAAGTTGCAAGAAGCCAAAATTGTGGTATTTAACTATTTATCGTACGGTTGAAACAAGATCATCATAGTTGCAAAACTGCATAGGTATACTTGTTGTTTGTCTGCATGTTATAGTAAACATAAAACAAGTCACATTTCTAGTTTATTCTTTCATGCGTAGAAGCAATTAATAATATTCAATAATGCAAGGTTTCAGTTTCAAATAATGCAGGATGTGACGCCTTCAACCGAAAAAGATTCCTCTTGCTATCCAATTGTTTGAAAACTAATGGCGTTGGCGATTGATATAAAACCTATTTTACTAATTTAGAAAAATTAAAAAAGTTAAATATATTATTTTAAGTATTTATATTTATTCTTTTTTTCTAAACTAATTTGCTTAAGTTATGAAATACTTGATATATAATCTAAAAATATACGTAAGTCTTTAAAAAGATTATGTAAGAAATATTATAATTAAGTAATTATTTAATTATTTTATTTTTTTTAAAAATAATCAATTGGGTCTTATATTAAGAACTGGAGCTAGTCTAGTATAAAACAAGGAATTTGTGGAAGCGTCACCTAAACAGCAAAATCCAACCAACTTTATATAAAGAGTAACCAGTGGTGATTAGATTATTAAATTAATTTATTTAAAAATGAAGAAAAATTTTAAATGTATTGCTATTTAAAATCATAGTTTATATCTTTAAAAAAATTTAAAAAAATAACATAAAATTTTAAATATGGACAATGTTAAAAAAATATAACTAATACCCTACTTAATTAATTATAATAATGATCACTCATTTCTTTTAGAAAATACTAGCTTATAACAAGAATCGCAGTGGCACATGCTCAACCAAAATGAACCCTGAAATGTCAAGAAATCTACATAAGACGTACTCTTTTTTTTTTTTGAGTAGGATGTTATCGCTAACTCAGGGTATTCCAGCCGAAACCGACCAGACTAATCCCAAGGTGCCTCGCAGGTATTGAGCCCAAGACCTGGCGGGTACGCGGCGCCTTGCCTTCCCCTATCAACCAGTCGGACCGACCCTTGCAGGCCATAAGACATACTCTTTATAGTACAATTATCCAATGAGATTATGAAATTCATTTCTTCTGATATATTGTGATGTGTTTTTTTAAGAAAAAATAACAAAAAAGACCATCGAAATTGAAAAATTACACACAAAGACTTGTTTATAAAAATTGTTGACAAAACCCATACTATTGTTGTCAAAACACATACTAATGTTGTAATGGGTCCCTATTTATAATTTTTCTATTTTGACAGTCTTTTTTGATGATTTTTTCTTTTTTAAAATATGGTTGATATATATAGCCCAATGACGAAGAAGAGGATGGTTGGAAATCCAAATTATAAGGATCCCCGTATCATACGCACCTCGGAGATCCCCTAATTGCTAGATAATTAAGCCTCTGTTTTGTCTTGCAATATATAGAGTCATGTCCAAACAGAACATTTATCTATCCATTAATGGTCTATGTTCCTTAATTTTGACCACATAAAGCTATCAAATTAAGCATCTTAGAACGTAACTTAGAGACGAACGGAACACCTATGCGGTGCATAGTCCTATGCTCCATCAAAACTAATTAATTGCCTGGTCAAGTACAAGATGTTCTATGTAATGCACGACAAAAATCTGGCTAGTTGGCTGTGTTTGATACGTGACACACACACATGTAACTTTGTGCTCTTTTCTATTATTTATCAATTTTTGCGAAGTAATGGGCCAATCCGTTTTTTCCGACTGTATCGTTGGTGTAAGTAATAGGGGCTATGATATTTTAAACAAGTGGTTAAAATTTTGACTTCTAATATTTATGTATAGAGCAAAGTTAGTCACAAGTATCCTCAGGTAAACTAGCTTGTACGATTGGCAAGTAGTTCTTCTAATCTTATCAAAAAGGATATCGTTATAATTTGATCAAATTAATGGGACCATGCATGTGTAATTTAATTATTTATTTTTTATCCATGCAAGTCTTTCCCAAACTTGTATTCATATAAATGCAAAAAATACTTTTGAGAAAGCTACCTCCACTCGGAACTAATAATACTTGAATCTGACCTAGTCATATAGCTATAAGACAAAAATAAGGAGGGAAGACACACTGTGGGGGGAAAAACAAGGGCAGGCATGGGGGTTTAACAATTTAAAATGAAATAATAAATAAATGTATAATATTACCATTGTTCAAAATCCAGAAGGGGGAATCTTATTTGCATTTTGTTTTTAATTTGCAAGTTGGCATTAAAATATTTACTGTGAAGAGAATATCATCTCTATATAAATCATCCTCTCACTGCCCTTTTGCATCCCCACTGCCAACAAGAACTTCTCACCTTATCATCTATACTCCAATAATATTTCAATCACTTCATATATGGCTTCCGACGGCCAAAACCGCTATGTTCTAACTTTGTTGCTCATTCTCACAATCTGGAGTTCTGCGGCAATATCCCGGAAGCTTCAAGAATCATCTTTACCAGAAAGACATGAGCAATGGATGGCCAAGTATCGCAAAGTGTACAAGGATGCTGCAGAGAAGGAAACACGCTTTGAGATATTCAAGAACAATGTTCAGTTCATTGAGTCCTTCAATTCTGCTGGCACCAAACCCTACAAGCTCAGCATCAACCAGTTTGCAGATCAAACCAATGAAGAATTCAAAGCCATTCGTAATGGTTTGAAGAGGTCCCACATGTCCCTGACAGGAACATCGTTTAGGTACGAGAATGTTACTGCTCTTCCTGCTTCTGTGGATTGGAGACAAAAAGGAGCTGTTACTCCCGTCAAAAATCAAGGCGATTGTGGTAAGATTAAAGATCATATGATTTATTCTTGTTTCAATTTGTATTCTCTTTTGTTGTGTTTCTCATTGGTTCATTTATCTGTCAACTTTTGTTTACATAAAACCAGGAAGTTGCTGGGCATTTTCAACTGTTGCAGCAACAGAAGGGATTCACCAGTTAGCTACGGGAAAATTAGTGTCCCTCTCAGAGCAAGAACTTGTGGACTGTGACACTAAAGGAGTGGACCAAGGTTGTGAGGGTGGCTACATGGAAGATGGATTTGAATTCATCATAAAAAACGGAGGGATTACCACTGAGGAAAACTACCCCTACACAGCAACTGATGGAAAATGTAACATCAACAAGGAAGCATCCCATGTTGCAGAAATTAGGGGTTATGAGAAAGTTCCTGTTAACAGTGAGGAAGCACTTCAGAAAGCTGTGGCCAACCAGCCTGTGTCTGTATCCATTGATGCCGGAGATGGTTCCTTCCAGTTTTATTCAAGCGGAGTTTTTACTGGAGAATGTGGAACACAGCTGGATCATGGTGTAACCGCGGTTGGTTATGGTGTTACCGATAATGGTACTGAGTATTGGATTGTGAAGAACTCATGGGGAACTGAATGGGGCGAGGAAGGGTACGTGAGGATGAAGAGGAACATAACTGCTACGGAAGGTTTATGTGGAATTGCCATGGATGCTTCTTATCCAACTGCTTAAAAATTTCACTATGTTAATGTAAGATCATATCTTGAATTATTTGCTTGTCCTAAAATATGTTGACATGTATTTTCAACAATTAATGAAAGTATTATGATTTCCCTGTACCTAACGATTATTTGATAAATACTACTACTTCCGTTTCTTAATATAAGACCCTATTTGACTTTTATTTTGATCTTAAATATAAGACCCTAATCCACTTTGTCTCTCATATTTATATTTTTTTTCTCCAAAGTAGCCCTTCTAATAATGATAGTTCTAGTTAATACACTTGATTAGCAAGGATATTTTAGGAAAGATAACATCTATTTAGGACAAATAACTAACTCAACTTACTTCCTTAATCTCCTCAAATTAGTCAACTAATTCTTATAATTAGGACCAGAGGTAGTACCTCCGGTCTTAATTATAAGACTTTGTTTATAAACTGTAAACGAGATCATATAATTAGGATCAAAGGTAATATTTGTTACTCATTTTATGTTGTTTATGAAACACACGCACGTGTGTGTTTGTGGCAAGCTACGAGTCAGATTCCTCATTCTTTTAAAATGTCCTTTCAGAAGCATTCGAACTGAGGAATTAATCCACGATATTTCCCTTTCAAAATTTGACAAGGAATCCCGTAAATTTTTAATTTATATAAATAAATCTCCTATTATCAATCATTTTGTTGTTTTACTAATAAAAATATAATATGTTACTGATCAAATACCTTTCCAACTTTATTTTAGTATAAATAATTTTCTTAAACTTTGAGTTATGCGTAAATATGACTCACTAAATTTTATGATATCTGTATATTAACCCTGAGTCATACTCTATTATTTTAACAAGATAACGGATAAAGTAATGATAAGAGAATTCATTTGCATAAGTATAAAATTTAGATGAATTCACTGTAAAACTCAAAACTTGGTATGATTAATATATAAACCTAACTAAAAATTTAGGAAGCATGTATTACTTAACCATAAATTCATATCTAGAATAAAGGTACGTTTCCAATTCTAGGAAACAAATTTTTTTCTCTTCTTCTTTTTTGCTAGGTACAAATATTTTCTTATTGAAAGTAATCATGTTTTAACTATTGTTAGGTATTCAATGCTAGCTCCTCTTTTAATAAGAATTTGAAAGATTGGCCACTTTTTGAGAAAACTCTAGCCCGTTGATCTGAAACAAATTCTCTTTGGTTTCTTCTCTTCACAGAATTACTGTCATTATTGGCAAAAAGAAATAATAATAATAATAATAATAATAATAATAATAATAAATAATAATAATAATAATAATTGCTGTCATTGGCCCAAGCCCCTACTATGTCTTTCTTCCTACGCGGCAAAAATATATTTGTCCTAAAAAATGTCAATATTTTTCGGGAATTATTATTTTTGTCTTTGAAGAAACAAAATTAATCTACGGACAGATAACCCAGAAGATATCCAATTCATGTTGAAATAAAATTTGTAGCGTCCAAAATTGGCCTTATCGGGGAAGAGATAATTTTGATTTTCATTGAAAAAAAGAGATAATTTTATTAGATGAGAAATCGTCGTTGCCACTTTTTTTCGTTTTTGGTTTTTTCGATTTATTTTCAACGATGTAAGTATAATCCATCTTTTTCCCGAAACTCATTGCATGCTGCCAAAATCATTGGTGCCTCTCATTCTATTTCATCAAAGTTATCTCAAGTTTTGAAAATTTTTTAATTTAATAAACTTCACCCACCAAACGAAAAACTGATCACATTTTCCATTTCCCAAACAACTCCCAAATTAATTTTTGTGTGGTAATATATATTTTTAATTTAAAAAATATTACGTAAAGTATTTAAATTAAAATTCATGTAAAAATTAAACTTGAGGACTTAAATTTTGAATTCATAGAATAAAAGCTATAATTATTTTGAAGATAAAAATTATAATAAAAATTTCCCAGAATTCGAATCAAATTATTCGGTAAACGATAATAATTTTCAAAGCAAACATTTACAGTTATAACAAATTTTTAGAAAACGTTGTAGTTAGAAATAAATGCAGATTTAGCATCTTGATTGCGAAATTTTCAATTTAAAATTTTGGACATTTTTGTTCTTCTTTTTTTTCCCTTATTTTTTTAATTCTATTTTCTTTTCTTTTTTTTGGGTAAATACTTTTTAATTCTATTTTCTAGACGTTACCAGTTGCCGCAAGGATGAGAAGCTCTTGCGGTGCTGCCTCTTGCTTGAAGCAATTGTCCAAAACGGCGGAGGCGCCAACTAGGAAACTTGCACGTGACGACACGTGCCTGTTTCAAGTAAAACGGACTTTGCCTCGTTGTCTCCACTCCCAGATTCATCTCTCACATTCCGAAACAATTCTGGCTACAAATTTGCCATGTCAGCATTTCCCCCCATTTTTTTATTTCCCCACCAGAAATTCATCCTCCTCAGAAAATTGAAAAAATAAAATTTTTCAAAAAAAAAAAATTCATTAACTAATTTTTCATTTCTTCTTGTTCTTCTTCTTCTTCTTTAAATCTCTTGATTCTGTGCTTGCCGAGGGGAGGAAGCTTCTCTTTGTCTCTCCCACTTCGAATCGGAATGGCTCATTTGCTTTCTCCCGTTTACACTGAGGCTATCAAAATCCACAATCCTCTGCTGAATCTGAGTTCTCCATCTTCATGGCGGCTTCTCGCCAGGACTTCCAGTCATTGCAAGTTTGGGAATGATTCTGCAAAGAGAAGATGTTTTGGTAGGGTTAAGGTTGCCGCTGAGGACTCCACTTCTAGTACTCTCTCTGATTCTATTGCCGATGACTATTATGCTGTTCTTGGCCTGGTAATTTGTCTGCTCCCAGACTCTGATTTCCCTCTCTGTTTGCTTCCTACTCAAATCATTCAATCCCAAGGAAAATTTTGTGTAACATGATTAAAAGCTGTGATTGTCAATTTATTATGTTTCTTTTTCTTTTTGGTATTTTTCTCAGTGGCGTTTTGTTGTAATTTTATGTTTACTAAGATACTAAAACGATAATATGCGATCATTTGAATCAATCATCCTATGCTACTAGAGTTATGGGGAAAATATGGAGTATGAAACTCCACTGGACTTAACTCTGGAAACATGCATGCCTAAGTGAAACTTTTGATCTTGATTTCATCCATGATCTGTTTTTCTCCTTAAACATTGTAGGTGGAATATCGAAGCGCGTAGCAAAAATAGACAAATCAGTTTGTTAAACTGAGTAGATATGCTGTTTGTTTAATGAGGTATCATTTGGTAATTTTTGGTGCGTACAATTTATTAGCTTCCAGATGCCACGCCGGAGCAGATTAAGAAGGCTTACTACAACTGCATGAAAGCTTGCCATCCAGACTTGAGTGGCGATGATCCTGAGACGACGAACTTTTGCATCTTCATTAATGAAGTGTATGAGGTGGGTTCATTTTGAAATAAATCTATGTTTGAGGTTGAAGAAAATATGTACAAAGTTATCCTGTGTTTTCATGGTAGAGAGATTGACTGTTACAGTGCAGGTACTCAGTGATCCTGTTCAACGCATGGTTTACGATGAAATTCACGGGTATTCTTTGACTTCAATCAATCCTTTCTTGGATGATTCTAGTCCAAAAGATCATGTTTTCGTTGACGAATTCAGCTGCATAGGTATGTCCACTGTACCACTTACTCTCGCTAGCACTGAATCACTTCAACTCAAACCTGTTAAGATTTTAGTTCCGTCAATGATTTTTATCAATTTCTCAAAAATGCCCTCTAACAGCAGCACATTATTTTTTATCTTGAAGCATCGACTAAGTAGAAACTTACCATACTTTGTGCTGAAACTTAATTTTAAGTAAATGAATTGGACATTGAGTATCAGGACTCTAACCACTGGGTTTGTAGAGGTTTTGATATCATGTCAAGGACTAATTCTCTCAAAAAGTTGAAGGTGTTACGTAAAAGCTTATAATTGGTTATTATGAATAGTTGAATACCCCTAACAAACATATTAACGCCCTCCACATCTTCGAAAGAAATCAATTGGCTGTTATTTATTGCCCTTTGAATGTACAAGTTTACTAATATTAACGCCTTTCTTGAATGTACAAGTTTACTAATATAGTCATTCTTTGTTTGACTTTATTAGATGTTTTTCACGTTTGAGGTGAAGTCTTGAACAGTGACAAAGCTTATCATGTAATTACTCTGAAAATTCTTATACAGGTTGCAAAAATTGCGCCAATGTGGCCTCTGATGTGTTTGCAATAGAGGAAGACTATGGAAGAGCCAGAGCATATAGCCAGTGTGGAAAAACTGAATTAGTTCAGCAAGCAATTGAAAGTTGGTGAGTTTATTTACAGTTGTGCTTGCTCTAAGATGATATAGAATGATGAAATCCTGAATAAACCCTGCTTAAACTGTTGGCCGAATATTGATTATAACCAGGTTTTTCTTTGAAAGATAATTTTAAATTTTACTTTAACGCCAGTCTGTATGCCAGGTGCATTTCTGATTGTAATCTTAGTTTTTCTGCTTCGTATGGTAAACATGTATTATCTAATTGATTATCAATAATTTTACGGAAAGGGATGGGTTCTGAAAGTTGACATTGTCTTCAAATTACTAGTATCATTTCATGAAGTAAATTCACTGCCTTTCCTCCAGTTTTACTATTGTATGATTAAGGTTAAAATCATCTTAATCAGCGGATGTATTTGGGTATCATGTTAAAATAGTGGTAACTCATTAGTTATTGTAGTGTTACAGAATTACTAAGATGATAAATTGAGCTTTATGAAATCTAGGACCTATTCATGATTCAACTGCAAAGAAGTATAAGGAATCAGACTGTGGTAAGTTCAAGTGAGCTTGATTCAAGGTTCCAAGTCGAAAACCCATCTGAATAAGCTCATAATTTGGTCCATATGATGGTTATGTTTCTTTTCTTCATATGTTCTAGTACAGACGAACAAATCTAATAAATTTGTCAAGCCTGAGGCTTCTCACAGTTTGAGCCTTTTTGTTGAGATCCAAGGTTGTGATGTCAAATATCCTGGAACTGAAAAACTTCTAATAGTTGAAATCTGATAAAATGCGTATATAGTGGGGTCTGGCAAACCC